GCAGCTTCAGCACCAGGGGCAGCACCAGGAGCCTCAGAGCGGCCAGGAAAATGGTGCTGGGGGGTGGCATGGGGTGGGCGAACTATCGGGCATAGTCACCAGTGCCGTGTCTCGCTTCTGGCGGATGCTGAGGTCAGCACAAAGAGACACATTTCTTGTACGTACCTGCACAAATGCTCTCTCTCTCTCTCTCTCTCTCTTTTCCTCCATGCTCGTATGTGTGCAGCACGGATTCGCCCACGCCAGCAAGCAGCCCGGCTGCAGAGGGGTGGAAGCGCAAGCACGACCCCACAGCTCACAACACGACCACAGAACAGCCAGCTAAGAGGGCCCGTGTGTGAGTGCGCGTGACTGAGTCAAGGGGGGCTGCTAGATGGGGGGTAGTAGCTGCTGGGGGAGCTGTAGACTTCTCGGTGAGTGGGTGTGTGAGTGAGTCGACGCGAACAATTTGCTCGATGTGTTGAAGGACCGCTGCCAACGTCACAATTGCTCGCATCACTTCATATCTACTCTTTAGTCTCAGCCCTCGTCGCATCACATCATGTGGCATCCCATGTTTGGCGCGGCTGCACCCGACGTCCCTCACCTAACTCAACAGCGCTCTGCAGCACGCTGCTGTGAGGGGTGAAGGGCTGTGACTTCAGCCACAACCAAAACAGAGATGACGATGAATGTGGCGTCCCTAAACATCTCTCAGCACGCCACGAGCCTGACTGACAAACCCTCTCCGAGCTCGCAGCAAGTCAGCCATATGTATCGTAGACATCATGTGGGGTCGCCTGTCCGCCTGTCGGATAGTTGCGACGTGCCCGGCGGACGGACCAACCAAAGAGCACATACACACTTTGGTTGAGGCGTTCCCGGTTCGCGCGACAACTCTCCGACAGACAGACAGACAGACAGACCCACGATCGAATGATGGACCTAGTGAGCACGACCTATATGGCTGGGGCAGCCCTCTCGCTCTCACTATGTGCATGAGATGTGCTCCCCTGAGCCGCCACATCCGCACCCATCTCCCCGCCCGCATCAGCCGTCCCCGCCTCGAGTTCAGCACCTTGTGGCTCATCGGGTGCGCCGGTCTCCGCTTGGCCGTCGGGGAGGGGGCGGGGGACAAATGGGTTCATGAAGACGTGCTGGATGACGTCAACAGACAGCAAGACAGGGACGTATGCTCTGGTTCGATCCATCCCCCTGTGCCGGTGCGATCTGACCTTGAGATCGAGTTGGTTCCATCCCTTGGACACCTCACGCTCGTTGCCCCACCTGACACACACACACACACACACACACACACATACATAGGCACACAACAGCCGTCAATCAACCACACGCGCCCAGCACTGCCCTCCGTGCTCCTGTCGACCGTGCTTACCTGCCCTCCCCCCTGATGGCCTGAATGGACAGCTTGAGGGACGTGTTGGTGTAGCGGGGCATCCGCAGGGGCGGCTTCCTTCGATGGAACCAACGAAGCGCGTTCATCTGACCTGCATGCCGGCAGTGAGCGAAACACACCAACCAGACGGACCAGCTCGTTCGCAAGTCACTACATGAATCAACCGGGGTGTTTGTTGTGTTTTGCTGTGTACCTTCAAGTGAGGGCTGCCACAGGCCCTGTACACTCCTCTTCTCCGTCCACACACGCGGACCGCCGTGGCGCATGTGCTCGTTGCCAGAATCTGACACACATCATCACACCGCAGCACCCACCAAGAGGAAACACCAATATTTATGATATGATGGTCATGTGCTTCTGCTGTCGGGGCAGGTGGGTCGTACGTGAGTTTCTGAGGAAGTTAAGTATGTCGTCGATGTGTCGTGGCTTGAGGTTCTTGAGGTTGATCCTGGTGGTCGTGTTGCTGGCAAACCCCGCCGTGACCTCGGGCTCCTCATACTGTGAGTGCTCTGTCGTCACCGTCACCTGGGGATTCTTCTCGCGCCACTTGTACAGCAAATGACGAAAGTAGAACCTGACACATACATGGATATATGCACCCAACACACACAGGCACCAGGAGCCATCCATCCATGCCGGCCTGTAGATGCACGTGTGTTGTGCTGTTACCTGACGCCTCTGCTGCTGTGTCCGGTCTCGCTGTATCGGATGTTGACGGTCTTGAGCTGCCACACGCCACGACTGCACATCCTTGGTGCCGCTCAAAGCTACTGTACAAAATACAATAGATCACTGAGTCTGCCGTTGCTCCCTTGTCATTCTCGCTACTCTGATGGCCTTTGGACGCTTTGAGGGACCGTTTGCCTTCTGCTCCGGAGGTCGGAGCTAAGCCCGCAGGTGCCAAACGGAGTAAGGCTTCTTCGCAGCATCCAAGCTTTGTTGAAGGCTGGGAGGGCTCAGGACAGGCAAGATTTGCAGGCTCCAATGGAGGGCTTTGACCAGAAACGCTATCGCGGCGGCGGCACGGCGGGTGGCGGCAAGAAGGGCGGATACGGAGGACTCACATACGTCAAGCAAGGTGAGAGGACAGCAAGCATGACGCTCATGAGACCGAAGACAGTTCACTCGTCTGTCTGCTTGTCTGGTTCTCTGTGTGTCTGCAGTTCCCAAATTCCTGCAGAAGTACTATGACCAGCACCCAGAGCTTGCCGTGAGCGAGAAGCATCAGAAGACCGTCTCACAGAGGACGCCAAATGAGTCGCGCGAGGAGGAAATGGCGCACATGCTCAAGGTACCGCTGACGCGCCAGGCTGCAACCGGATGCTGTGGAGGACACTGGCCAGATGGTCCCGCCTCTTTGTGTGTGTCAGGATCTCGAGTCGGCCCAGATTGTCGACAGCAGCGTCACCCTCGACGACCTCAAGAAGCAGCACGCCCTGCAGTCACACAAGGACGCACGAGCCCACCAGACATGCGACGTCAAGTCACTCGAGGCCGAGGGCAAGTTCGTCTTCAAGAAACCAACCGCCGCCAGCTCGCGACCAGACAAGGACCACCATCCGTCAGCGCGCCGAGGGAGGGCAGAGAGGGATCATCCGTCGTCGCGCGGCGGCAGAAGTGAGGAGCCGTCAAGGCACCGCGGTCGGAGCCGAAGTCGGAGCCGCAGCAGAGAGCGGTTCAGGGAGACCTCGCGCGAGCGAGACGACCGTAGATGGAGGGAAGACAGTGAGAGGGAGAGGGGTAGGGGGGATGACGACAGGGGGCGGTCGGGGAGGGGTAGGGTAGATAAGGACAGAGCCAGCGAGGCGAAGGAGGGGAGGAAGGGGGCAGCGAAGAATCTGCTGTCTTTTGATGACGACTAGACAGTCGCGACAGCCGTGCTGTGTGTGAATGCCACGCTGCGTTCCACCTGAGGACATTGATGTCTCTTCCGAGTGGGAGTGCGGTCGCAGCTACCGACGTAATGGCACCGCTTTGCCGCGCGGGCGGGATGTTGATGTCCTCGATGAAGAGCGCATCCATGTATGCTCGATGGATGAATGGACTATGGAGAGAGGCATGTGGGTGGATGGAGAGATGTGGTGGTGTTGTGAAAACATGCTGGATTGATGTATGTTGTCGTTCGGTGACGACGAGTCAGCTGCATGGAAGGGTGTTGTGGGCAGCTGCTGTGACACTGATGCTGTTGACTTGACCAATGATGCAAGAGTGAGAGTTCCGTTCCACACGTGTGTTGACATATGATGCTGCTGGTCCGTCCGTCGTCCAGCCATGGCCGCAGTGTGTGGTGCACTCACCGGCACACCCAGCAGCACCCAGCAGACACACCAGTGTGCCAGTCGCCACATGTGCCATGTGCCTGCCTGTTTGTTTGGGGCATCTATAGCAAAACCGGTGCTGTGTTGCACTGGGGGGATGAAGCTGTCAAAATCTTGAGACGTACAAAACCATTGATCGACACGTCCTTGACAAAACAAGCCGGTCCACGGACCCGCGGCATTATGCACAAACGACGACACGGAGGCAGGCAGGAGACAGAAGGCCGAGTCACAAGGCAGCATGGACAGCGGAGTTTCCTCCTCCTCCCGCACCACAAAAAAAGCAGCTTTTCTTATACAGTAGACATGGGTAATGCTGTCGCTCTGAGGTATGAGCGACAGCAACACCCACGTAACGTCAACCGAATGGCAAAGCTGCTAAGCTCAGCTGCTCAAGGGCAGAGAAGGGAGAGACGAGGGCCACTCACCCACCCACCCACCCACTCACTGTACACAGAGCACCTCCACCTCGTCAGCCACGAAGTCAAATGTGCCTCCCAGGTAGACACTCCCGCGCCCATCCCTCACCCCCTGGTACCCCTCGGGCACCCACTGGGGCACAGTCAGCTGGCTGCACCGACGGATGTCGGCAGCAGGGCCACCGCCACTGCCACTGCTGCCGCAGCCCAGCCATAGGTGGCCACCGATCCGCACACTCGCACCACTGGCAGCCCCCTCCCTCCCCGCCACCACCAGCAGCTGCCACTGGGGTGATATGTCGATCTTGGTCGGCCTCTTGAAGTGGCCGGCCAGTGAGAACCACCAGACGTCACAGCGGTAGTAGTGGTAGCTGTCTGTCGGGTCGTCGGGCGGCTGGAGGCCGCCACTGATGCAGCAGCCGAACACATACGTCTTCTTGCGGATGACGAACACCAGGCCCCTCCTGTCGCCCACACAATGGAGCAGATGGCCGTACGTCGAGCCATGCGAAGAGGCCCTGCACCACACACAGACGGACACGCGGACAGTGATGTCCTCAGATGCGTGTGTGTGTCTGGAAAGCTGTGTACCTGTAGATGAGTGTGAGTGTGATATCGCCGCCCAGCCACTGGGCGACGTGCGTCACATACGAGAGGCCGATGGAGCTGCCGCCCTTGGCCCAGGCACGCGCAGCACTGACAGACACACCAACACAGAGAGAAAGATCTTCACACCCACCCGTACATCAATCTCTCGCGCCTTTGGCTGCAGGTAAGTGTATCCTTTACCTGCATATCCCGCAGACACCGTCGTCGCGAAGGCTGGCGGGCTGGCGATCCATCAGCCGCCGGACACACTGACCGGACGGACACACATGAGTGGCGTGATGCCCTGGCGGTGTCGCACTCACCTTGGCACAGTACGAGTGACGCTTTCGTGTGCTGCAAATGCTGCAGGACGGCGGCAGGGGCTCGGGAAGGCCACGTCTGATGCTTCGGGCCATGTTCAGCATGCACCTGCCATGGAATTCGGCATCTGACCCACACACGCACAAGCAAGCACACAACCACACACACCTCACAGATGAGTTGTGTGTTCATTCCGCCTTCAGCCACCGCATGGTTTGCCTCCACTGCCCCGCGGTACGGCTGCAGGTGAGGAGGCCGCCACCGTTGTCGTCATCAGAGATATGCAAGATGCCCGTGACTCATCGCCATGGAAGGCTGTTCGGGCAAAGTCTCGGGCAAAGTCGCAAAGTCAAGTCGACATTCAGGGTTTCACTGCAGGGTTTCGATCTGCTGGGTTTGAGGCCAACGTCGCCGATGTCGGCAGCCCGCCGAATGCATGGACAACCCCAAGTCACAGCAGCACAACACAGCCAGTCAGCAGCCCCTAACTCGTAGGACTCACAGACAGAAAACACACCATCTCATTCATTAATTAGCTAGGACAGTCCCTCCCTCCAAGCTGATCTCAGTACAGGCCATCTGCCCTCCGCCCGTTGCTTGCGTCGCCGCCATTCTGACACACACATACACACACACTGTCTAGATCGTGTGACGCGTGGCGTGGTCTGGTTGTGGTGACCTGGTTGTATTTGCGTGTGGTGGTGGTGTGGTGGTCATGTGCGGCGTTGAACTCCTCCTCTTCCTCGTCAGAGTCGCCAGACATCTCTATCTGACGCATCGCAGCCTAAACACACACACACACACAGACGACAGACAGACGGACAGACAGACAGACACACACAGAGAGAGAGAGAGAGAACGATGTGTGATCTGGTAGCGCTGTGACTGCCTGTCTGTCTGTCTGTCTGTGTGTATACCTTGAGTTTGGGGTCGGTTTCCTCCTCCATTTCCTCCTCGTCGTACTCGTCCTCATCGCTGATGTACATACATCAGCAACACACATACGCACGGCAGCAATCGATGCACATGAGCATTGGAGTGTGAACCACCCGCC